AAAAAAAAAAAAAAAAAAAAAAAAAAAATGCCACGGACAAACAGCGCAAGAAATATATAGACAAAGATGTTCCTTTATTTTTTTCTTTGATTTTTAAATTGGTAAGTTCTTTCATTCATCTTCACCTGACTAGTAATTTGTATGAATAAAATACAGATCAAGAATTCAATCAGCTAATGAGAGACTAGAAATTTAATGTGAACAAATTATTTCCATTAATTTATAGGTTGCAAATGTGACGACAGATGAAAAGAAACATCCGTACATGAACAATGGCAGTATTTCAATTTGTTGTAATTCATGAGATTTTTATGACGACATTCGTTAAGGTTCTATCGTATTTTTCTAAGTATTTTAACAACAAATCTTCTGTTTCAACAAGAGTGTGAAATAATTTTAAAAATTTAAGAAATTACAAACAGTTTTAGGAGCATTGTAATTTTTTTCAACTTTCTAAATTGGAATGAATTCGTTTCTTTTTTCTTTTCGACGACGTTGACACGTTGAAGACCTGTTAATCAAACAGTTTCCACGTATAGATAATGGTAAGTAAGTGCGCTGACAAATCCGTCAGATAATAACGTTTCTGTTATAACGCGAAGATACAAGCAAGTTCTGCCGATACGAAGATATTGTGCAAAGCGAACGATTTAGTTCTTTATGTTAATCACTTTCAGTGCCTGTGACGATGAGTAAATTGTGAAAATGTGAAAAACTCGTTCTTTTTCAGGATCAAAGAAGGACTTGAACACCTTGGAGAAACCTTTTATGAATATATGTATTTATGTGTGTTACACAGATTCTGAAAATGTAGCAGTAAAATGGCTTGTAACTTCTATATACATTTCCAGATTGGTTTTAAATTTCACTAATACGATACTCGTGTCTCATTACAGAGCTAATGAAATTTCAGGAAGTTTCATATAACACTTAGAATGTATTTATAAAAGTTTTCTATACCGTGAGTCCTACACTTTGGCGAATCACAGTACGTAAGACCTTCATTTTGAATAGTTCGTTCTGAAAAAGCTTTACTATCGATTCTCGATCTCCTTTTCCCAGGCACGTGATCTCTAGTTTGCAGAACACGAAATGCCGAAT